TTGTTTTCTAAGACTTCACATGGCAACTTCCATGGGCTTAGCTCTTTGGGTGAGATCCCCAAGTTCTCTGATAATCTCCTCCCGGTCACAACATCCAAGTCACCACGTTCTGTAAGGTGTCATTCCTTAAATACCCCTCAGGCTCACACCCTCTTCCTTATCCTCTCTGCTTTCACTCCCGGCCAAGCCCTTCTGTTCTGCTCCAGGTCCACCACACTTCCGGTTTCCTGGTCTCTCAGCTGCATCTGGCTACCCTCACTTTCCCAACCAACACCTTCTCCCACGCAGCACCAGCTTAACTATGCCAGTCTGACTGTATCACTTCCCTGCAATAGACCTGTGATGACTGCTGCTCCATCACCTGCAGTATGACATTCAAGGCTCTTCAAGACCTTTGTTTACCTATGAAGCCACACTTTATCCTCTATACCTCTTAATTTGAAGGTGACTGTAAACTAGAGCTTCTTAAACTCGTGCACGCAAATATCCCTAAAGTCTTGTTAGGTGCAGTTTACCAGTCTGCAAAGTTTGGGTGGAGGCCTCAGGTTCTGTGTTTTTAACAAGCTTTCTGGTAATGCCTTGGTTACTGGTCTGGGGACATTTGAAGGCACAATTTTTAGCTACTAGGGCTATTTTTAGCTTCTTGAGGTCTGTTCAGTTGTCTTTCTCTTCAAGGCCTTTGTATTCTCTGCATTTCTTGTTGGGCACTACTTTCTTGCTCTGTTTACCTGGCTAAGTCCTTATTCTTCAGGATTTTCACCTTGCTTGTGCTTGCCGTAAGCTCATGGGACTTACCTTGGTCAGGGTAGGCAGGTCTTTAGTGTTTTATTTCTGTGTCTCAGGCCTGAAGAAGAGGCTTCAGGAAGTGAAGGAAGGGCTGAATGAATGGGCGATGGGCGAGAAAAGCAGTTCTCTCTGATATTATACACCTTGAGACAAGGGGGCAGCTGAATGCATTCCATAATTTCCCCATAGGTACTAGATAAATGGCTGATTGCATTCATGTTCAATTTAAAGCTTTTAGAACTAAGATATATTGCATCTAACATCTCAAACTAAAGTTTCTTTGGCCAAGGAGTTTTCTCACAGATGCTGGCCCTGGTGGTGTTAGGAGCAGGCTTCATAAACAGAGGAGAGACTGGGGGAATCAACCTTTACCTAAGTCAAAATCCAGGATCATAATCCTCTTATCCACCTGGTGAAGTAGGTAATGCTTTACCTCCACTTTACTAACGAGAAAACTGAATTCAGAGAAGTTACCAGCTCCCACTTACAGGGCTACCAAGAGGTAGAGCCAGGATTCTAAGCCAGGACTTCACAGTCTGTGCTCTGTGACACTCCTGAGCATCTCTTGTCTCAGAACTGTAGGCAAAACTAGACTGAGAATTATCATTCTCTCTATTAAAGTGGGAGTATTCATTTCCATTGTTTTAATTTTTTTTTTAACTTGGGCAGATAGCTTGGAAAGTTGTTGGACACCAACTGGACTTGCCAAGAAACCCATTAATCTTGGCCTTTCAGAGAAAATCTTCAATAGAATTTATTTACAAGGCAAATGATGAAGATTTAGGATTCTCTTCCAGGCTGCTCTTTAAATATTTCCAATCCAAAAGGGACCACAGTTACTTTAGATTTTTATCTTTTAAAACCTGAATTCACTGCTTTTGCTTAGTTTTACAAGAACATGTCTTCAAGATAAGCCACAATGAGACAGAATAGGTCCTGCTCTTCCTACAAATCTGAATCTGATAATGACTAATGTTGAACTCAGTAATAAGTGAGGATAATTTCAGAACACTTGGCTTTGCTTTAAAGGGCAAAATTTTGGAAGCAAGCTCTCAGGACTCCATCCAGATCCATTTTCCTGGAACATAATTAGGGACAGGCTCTGCATAAGCTCCAGGTGAGAGCGAAGAGTCAGAGAGGGCACAGTGGCTTCCCGTGTGCCGGGCGAAGGGGTACAGAGGACTTTTGGTGCCATAACACCACAGCACAGTGGCCTTTGGGTGCCATCCAATGTCCTGGAAAGGAGAGGTGGCTCCTTTCCAACCTAGGATAGGGCTGGGAAGGGTGTGAGTGCAGGCAGGAGATGGAGGCCACCAGAGCTCCCTGATTGTCCCTGTAACCCTGCCTGCTGGGCCTGCTGACTGCTCTGTGTCTCACTGATACACAGAGAATTCTGAAATATAAGCAACTGTGTTATGCTTATTTCTCATTCCACATGAGCGTTTGCCTTGGTCATAAAGGAGAATTTCTGAATCAGTTGCACATCACACCCAGCTGGGTCTTGACACTGCCTGAATTTTCCATGTCTTTTTGGAGATAAATCATATCCCTGGCTTAGGATATGCTTTCTGATTATTTATCTTTTTTTTCCATTTGGTGTTTCACTTTGGAGCAAAGTAAAAGTATCTGTACCTGCATTTATGTTACAGATTTAAAAAATGCATTTTTTAAATTTTTGTAAAGGTAGGAAAAAACTGGGGATAGGACAACCTTAAGACAAGAAAAATATTGTTTTCTATTCTCTTTACCAAATGCTGCTCTCATGTGCTAGATATCATAATGCTAATAATAAATTGAGCGATTACAGTGTCAGGGACTGTTGGTAGCACATAGGACCTGCTTTTACCTCCCATTTTACAGATGACAAAACTGAGGCACAGAGAAATCACTTGCCAAAAAAGGAGTCCATGTTCTTTTCTTTTTTTCTTTTTTTTTTTTTTTTTTGGTACCAGGGATTGAACTCGGGTCCTTGCACTTGTGAAGCAGGCAGTGGAACCACTGAGCTAAATCCCTGGCCCTGGAGTTCATGTTCTAATCCAGCATTTTGATTCCAGAGCACTTGCCAGTAGACTGGATACCCGACCATACACACAGGGATAATGAGGGTTCTGGAGAGTCAACACACCCAAAGCACTTCCATGGAACATACGAGCTTAAACTTGAATGTGTGACTTCCTGCGGACAGTGCTAATCTGACAGTGTTCCAGGAATCTCTTTGTAGAGGGCACTGATTTGCCCTGTGCCCATTAATATCTGCTTCAGGGGTTCTAGATGACAGTTCACATCAAACAGAACCTCTTTATGATAGGGGTATTATCACAGAAATTCACAGTAAGTCAAGCCCATATGTATATATAAGGGAAGATGAGGCAGGAGATTAAATAGTAGGCCAGCCTGGGCAAATTTTCAAGAGTGTGTTTCAGAATAAAAAATTTTAAAGGGCACTTTGCTAGTGACTAAGTCAGACAGTGAGTCTATACACGTTAGGTGAATGGATTATAACACACCAGTGCTGTGCTTTTAGCCAGCGTCTTGATCAACCCAGACTGCTACAGCCTCAGTTCAGCCTCTGTGGCACTGACATCAGTCTCCAGGACCACAGGGCTGGCTGGATAGCTCACAGTGGCATGAGTCTTGGACATAGGCTAAGCCCATAATATGGCGACAAAGCTGGTGGTTTATAAATGCTTTTGCTCCAAGTAACATCTCTTATTTGATGAAAAAGCTATCTTCCTGCCAACTTGGCTTTCCTGCTTAAACTTTGGTATTTTTCAGTCTGGTAATTCTTTAAATTTGATATTTTGTAGGATAAAAACTGAATAAATTCCCTCTTATTGTCAATGTTGTAAGTTCCACATGGAGTTTGCTCAGGCTGAAAACACATCTGTATTAATCAGACAAATTAATGAGTGAGCCTCAACAGTTCATTTTAATGATTTCTCCCTGAAGATGACAAAACAAACAGCTACCAGGTTTCAACAAGAAGGCTAAAAATTATAGTGAATGAATAGAGTTGTATAAAACATCCTCAATTCAATAAATTACAAATTATATTTTGAGATATTTGCAGAGTGACCTCATTTGCTCTATTTCAGCCTTAAAACAGTTGAACTAAAAGCCTAATTCTTACTGAAAGTCTTTAAAATGAAGAAATAACTAGGATGCTTTCCTCTGATTAAATAAGGAGGGAGAGTTGGGACTTTGCCTGCGAGGACATCATTTTAGAAATCAGTTTGGGGGCTGGGAATTGAGGGTGTAGCTTGGTGGTGGAATGCTTGCCGAGCATGCATGAGGCCCTGTGTTCCATCTCCAGCAGCAAGAGGGGAAAATGTCAATTTGGTTTTGACTTCATTAATGCAATAAAATGTGGGTGATTAATCTGAGTGAAAGCTGCCATTTTCTAAAAATGCATTTAGATTTAACTGGACGGGTGGTTGCATGACAGGAGCTATTTAGGATTAGGAAGTAGCTGTGATTGGGATTTTAATGAATTGCATGCTATTTACGAATTCCTCAGCAGTCAGTTTGGATCCTTTCCCAGAAGGCAGACCTTTCCGCCTAGTTACCCCAACTTACGCACAGTTCCCTAAGGATTCAAGTGTTTCCTACAGATGTTGGTTTTGATGGGGATGAGCCTGAGGAACTCTTAACTTTCTGTTGGTTTTAGCTCCTTTCTAGATACTACTGAGACACTCCTGCCCCAAGCAGAAGACTGGTCTGTGCTTCAAAGGCAGCTATAGAGTGAATTATTTACCAAATTGCACAAAAGAAGGGGTTTATCAAGTTCCTTTCTCCCACAGAGGACAAACCCAGGACTAGAGAACTTTATTACTCTCCCTCTTGGCTATAAATTATACCATTGAGATGCTTTTGAAAGCTCTTCTTGCCTGAGTCATAAAACTTGATACCTGGGGCCAAATGCCTTTATTCCCCTGAGAAGGGTGAAGAACATGAAAAGGGAGCAATTTTAAGATGCTCTGTACAAAGCAGATCACTGGGCAGAAAATGTGGGTAGTCAAGGTAGTTACTTTGCATAATTCATGCCTCTTTGACTCTGAAATGAATTTAACCATTTGTGTAAGATCATTGACCTTCTAAAACTTGAATTAACTACTTGGAAAATACCAGGTTTAGCTAATACCACCGGTTTGATTGTTGTGCTCTTTAAGACACAAAATTTAGACGCCATGAATTTTAATAAACCGGCCACTCACCTGGAGAGGTTTTGCTGGGGCCCACTTGCTCTGGTTTCCTTGGACTCATAGTACTTTTATGTTTCTGCTTGACTGGTGTTTGGTCAATTGCTGGAAGTTTGGAATCACACTTAATCTCAGATTTCCTGCTTGATGGTCTTGGTTCAGTTAGAGACTCTTCCCCACCAGAACTCTGCTGAAAATGAAAGATTGTCTGAGTATCAGTGGCCATGGAGGGCACCTCTGTCAGGTTGAGAAAAAAGAAACCAGGCAAATGCAGCAACCCTCCAGCAATACTACTGAAGTATCTTGCTAGGCTCAATGTGCCCTTTCACCAGCGAGATTTTAATAAACTGGGAGTATCAACTTCAAGAATAACAGCAAAGTTAACGAGTCTATTTGTATAACAGTATGGAAAATGTATGTCTACAAGTCTGTTTTGCAGCACATTATGAAAAGAATGTAACCGAGGATCAATAAATTGCACATGATAAAGCTATATGAAAGGAGGAGGGAAAGATAGGTGCTTCTAAATTTTTTGCCGTTTTTTTTATTTGAACTACTTTGGGGGATGGAAAGGGCAAATGTTTCCTATGTTAATCATATACTTGACAATGAAAAGAAAATTTAGATAATGTGATAGAGACAGATTAAATCAGACCTCGGTTTCAATATCCTGAATTATTTGGTACAATACAAGACAGATGAAGCTCTTAAATTCTCTTCTTGTCAGTCTTCTATAAAGAAGCTAGTGTAAATCTATGCATGAATAATCATGATTCCTGCAGTGTCAGAATATCTCAACACAGTCTTGCAGATGCAATAAAGATTATTCAGGCACTCAACAGTTTTATACTTTGCCACACTTGTGCCTACCAAAAAAATGACGCAAACAATATAAATGACTATAAGAAAACTAATCTTAGCGGGTGATTTAAGAGTGGCCCCATGGCCTTAGGTCCTTTAGGTGTTAGCATGGTTTGCTAGACAGTAAATTTGGCAACCAAAAAAATCACAAGGTATAAGGGTTTTTTTTTTTACATTGAATGTTACTCTAGTACTGGAAATTTCGCAGAAAATGTGGTCTTCTGCAGACACAGAATGCTAAATTAATGTCCCCATCACCTCCCCAAAGGCTGCTTTTTGTATTGATCTTGCTCATTGTTTTCACTGACAGTTGTGGCATTTTCATTTCACAGGTTCCTGACTCAGGAAAATACTCTGAATAGGTTTGAGTTATTGGGTGCAATGTAAGACAAACTAAACTAAAAAAGCCCTCTCCTTGTCAGTCTTCTATGCAAAAGTCTTTATAAATCGACAGGTGAACAGATCAAGATGATAAACCATGTTTTTTAAATTCAGTGTTTGGACACAGGCCCCAAACAAATTATTGTTACTTTATACATTTCCAGAAAATAGACCACTCTCAGATAAAGGGGTAGGAAAAGGACATGACGTAGTGAGTTGATTGTTCTCTCCTTTCCCTTTTGATTCTGTGACTTAATAGAAATCCTTGAAGATTATTCTGAAATGTAAAAGATGAAACATTAGCTCATTTTTTTTTATTGAGTTTATTGGTACATTTAGGGATACAGTACAGTTACATTCATTGTTGGGATCATGTACCTTTACATGGCAAGTCTTGATTCTCATTTTTTTCCCCTTACCTCTGCCCTCCCTTCACCCCCTCCTCCCCTCCCCATCTACAAACACTTTATTTTCATCTTTTCATTCTCTCACATTTTTTTCTTTTCCCTTTTTGTTCTTCCCCTACGTATCACACCTTCCCTACACCTTTAGCTCCTTTCCTCCCATTTCTAAATGTCAGTAATCTTATTAGAATCTTATGCATTGTTGCAGAATATTCACACCAGGGAAACTATTTGGTATTTACACATGTGGGACTTATTTATTTCACTTAGGAGTATATCTTCAATATGTATCCATTTTCCTATGAATGAATCTATTCTCTCGCTCTTTATGGCTGAGTAATATTCCATTTTATAGAAAAACCACAACTTCTTTATCCAGTTTCCAACGGATGGGCAAATAGGTTGTTTCCAAGATTTAGCTATTACAAACTGTGCCGCTATAAACATGGGTGCACATACTTCTCTGTGATATGATTCTTTTAGTTCTCTTGGAAAGATACCCAACAGAGGGATGGCTGGGTCAAATGGAACCTCCAGTCCAAGCTCTTTGAGGTATCTCCATATTGATTTCCATAGTGGTTGCACTAGTCTGCACTCCCACCAACAATGGAGGAGGGTTCCTTTCTCCCCACAACCCCGCCAACATTTGTTATTGTGTGATTTCTTGATAGCAGCCATTCTTTGTGGGGTGAGGTGGAATCTCAGTGTTGTTTTCATCTGCATCTCTCGAATGACCAGTGATGTGGAACATTTTTTCATATATTTTCTTGCTGCTTTTACTTCTTTGTATGAGAAATGTCTGTTCATTTCGGATGCCCATTTTTGGATCGGGTCTTTATATTTGGGGGGACTGATTGTTTTGAGTTCTTAACATTAGCTCATTTTTAAGCATGAGTTCTCTAGTCTCAGAAAAGGGAGGGTGGGCACAATTTTTTTTTTTTTGAGACAGGGTCTCACCATGTAGTTGAGACTGACCTGGAGTTCACTATGTAGCCCAGGCTTGTCTCGAACTCACAGCGATCCTCCTGCCTCCCGAGTGCTGGGATTACAGGTGTGCACCACCACACCCGGCTGCAAATTTTAATTATATATAAAGATTGTCATTGTAATTGGTTGATGGCAGTCACAGTCCTGCGTTTGGATTCCATGGAGAGCAGCGGTGAACATGAGACAGACATTCTTCCAGGAGCTATCCCACTCAAACAGCTTACATTAGTGGGCTAAGTCTGCCCACTTGCACTTCAGCCATTTATTTTCAGCTCACTGAAAGGCAGCAAAGATGCTCCAGGCTAAGACTTATAACACCTGTGCTACAGCATCAGAACAGGTGTTTGCCAACACTAGTGGATCCATCTCCATCACCCCTGGCCAGGGCTGGAATTCTTTGCTTGCGCCCAGGCGCTGCAGAATGGGGAGGGATCAGTGAAGAGACTGTTCATTGGGTGGGTGTTAAGTCCTGTTTATCCTTTCTGTACCCCTTCATTATGCCTCGAGCCTTTAGTAGTACTGAAGAGGGGAAAGAAAGCTTGGCAGTTAAGCACGGCCTATTATGTTTAGGACTGTGCACCTGCTTCCCAGCCATGTCTTTCTCTAGTTTGTGGTTCCATCACCCTTCCTTCCAGGTGATAATCATCCTTTCATCCTTAAGAGTCCAGAAATTGTTGCTGAAAGTGGGTATTTTTGTCTGCTGGAGACAGGAGTCACAATAGTGAGAGCTGTCATACTTATGCATGTACTAATGGATCTTTTCCTGCTTGCCTCATTGAGCAATCTTTAAACAAGTCATTGTAGCCTTTTTTGTCTTTGTTCATGTCCTCTCATGTTTTCAGCCATTCTCAACTACCCTCTCTCAGGAAAAGCCACTGTACCATCTGGCGAGGATGATCCTTGATGGGAGCAGTTATAGTAACTCTTTCTGGCACTAAAGTATGGTAATGAAAACTCTGAAGTCCAGCTCTCTGACAGTGAATCCTGGTTCTTGCACATAGTTATTGTGTGACACTGGATTAGATGGCTTTTCCACATCTCAGGTTTTCTCATCTGAGAATAACAGAATCCACCTTTTGATAGTTTAATGAGAATTAAATAAGATATGCCCATAGCACTTATAACAGTGCTATATACATATAACTCAGCAAGTGCCAGGTAAGTGAAAGCTTTTATAATTATTGTCATTTAGCCACTCTTAAAATTAACTAGCTAACCACTGAACATTAACTACCCACTGTTGAAACCAAAGGCAAAGGCCTCAGTGAAAAATCTTATTGGATTTCACCTATTCCAAAGAGATACGAACCTGCAGAGGTGGATCAGTCCCCACACGGCACACTTGGTTTCTTCTACAGGCCAGAATTTAAGAAAACATGGGGCAATTTTTTCAGGCAGTAAAGGTCTTAGGATAAATATTTAATACTATTTATATAATTATCAAATAATTAATTTTTTGATTTAAATTTGATTAAAAACCCCATATTTTTCTTGTAATTTTGAGAATTACAGTTTTTATTTCTTTTCCATATGTTCTTAAGCTGAAATGTCACATGGAGGTGGAGGAAACAGCACATTTCTATTGATTTGGGGGAAGAAAATTAGCTCTATCTTTTAAAATCAAAGACTGAAACATTAAAAAAAATACCAAAAAGTTCAACCTACATGATACATTAAGGAAATTTAATATTGGGAATTTCATGAAAATTCTAGTAAAATCATGTTAATTAAAATAAGTTATAAGGATTAATCAAAATATAGGGTGAATGTTTAAATTTTAAAATTTTATTGTAATGAAAGACATACTGCCATCAGTCTTCCTCCAAATATTTCCCCTTGCATTGGACACATATGTCCCATTCTTCTTGCCAATTTCTGGAGGAGTTCTGGAAGTCTTCTTTCAAGAGTATCTTTATGAGGCATGATCAAAAATATGGTGAATGTGGCTGCTACATGACATCCAATGGAAAGGCAGGCTCACAAAAACTTTATGGTGTGTTCTCATCCACCTTATTCACTGGATCTGGCACTGTACAATTTCCGGTTCTTCCCCAAAGTCAAAGTGACCACAAAAGGCAAACATTTTGAATAGATTCAAGACACTAGGCGGCTGCAGTGCAACTGAAGACACTCACAGAAGAGGACTCCGGAACTGCTTCAGAAAGCGGCAAGAATGATGGGGCGAGTGTGTCCGAAGTGAGGCGGAGGATTCAGAGGGGATTAATGGCAAGGTCTTTTACTATAACATTTTAAAAAATGGTTAAATAGTCACCGTACTTTTTGATCATATCTAAAAGATGAATCTTTTTTCTGGAGTAGTAGTTTTGGATTTAATGTTTTCCTAAGATCCCCAACTTGCCCTTTTGGCATCATACATAATACAGATATTGATCTGCCCAGAGCTTGGCTCTCTCAAAGGGCTTGATTAATTAAGGGACTGAAGGTAGCATTGGGCAGTGAATTTAGCAACACTCTGACAGGACAAGTTAGATCTCCTGGAAGAAGGGAGACACAAGGGGAGGGAAGTGGGATGCAGCTCCTCAGGAATGTGAGAAGG